CCCCCCCCCCAGAAAGCATGGGGGAGTTTACTATGTGATACAGTGTGTTCCAGCAGCTAACCAGGCTGGATCGCACTGTATATGGTGTGAACAATACCTGACCCTGCTTTCTCTAGTTTACAATTCTAGGACCTAACTACCCCCTGTCCCACCCCCCTCATTGAGTTGCCTTTGATTGGGAAGTGCAATTTGCATATCAATGCAGCACAGTGGTGTTTGCATGAATAAACTACCGCATCTCATTAATATGCAAATCCCACAATTACCATATGCCGTGGCCAGTGGTAATGGCTCTTACAGTTCAGTGGATGTCAGGAGAGCAGAGGATGCAGTCATTGTCAGCTGGACCCCCCTACATACCTGCCGACAGTTTACCAGCAGTGGAAATCCAACTCCCACACCGCTGCTTCTCCTCCAGCTGAACACTCAGGCAAGAGATAACTCTGCCCTCCCCCACTCTACAGTGTGGCAGAAGAGGATTGCAGGTGTCCTTAGGTTACGTGCGACTGTGCACAGTTTTTGACTTGCGGCCGTACAGAAATGAAGGAACCTAAGCCTCCTTCCTGCCCCTTCTGGCCCGGGCCCCATAGCGGCCACGTGGGCTGCTATGGTGGTTGTTACGCCATTATGGAGGAGCCACATGCTGTTTTTTTGTTTCTGTGGACTGTCAACAGTTAAAAACATTTCTGCATTCTATGAGAGCTCTCTGCTTCTTTGTTGACAGATGTGAGTCCCGAGTGTCAACAAAGAGGGAGAGAGCTGTCACAGAATGACACAGACAAACAGCTCTCCTCTTCTTTGTTTACATTCTGTAACAGCTCTCTGCCTCTTCACATTCAGGATGCAAGTCCTTAATGCCTAACAAAGAGGAGGAGAGCATAGTGATACACAGCTCTCCACTCCTTTGTTCCGTTCTGAATAACATTCGGAAAACATTTTAGATGCATCCAAATTTCGTTATCTAAAACATTTAAATTCATTTGCATTCATTATTTCTGTCATTTGGAAATTTGGATGCACCCGAATATGCAGAAATTTGTATGAATGTCTATTCGGAACGAAACAAATTGCACATGTCTATTACAGAGTTCTGACCAAAGTGTTTCTTGTCAACAGTTGCTGGTTGTTAAGTAGTCACTGACTTTGTTAATTAAGTTCTTCTTTAAAATAGGCTGTGTGCAGAAAAGGTTTATAAAATGGAAAAGTTTTTATTTTTTCAAAATTAGTGTGCTGAGAATTGTGTTTTGTCATTTAGAGTCTCACTTGTGGCATAATAATCAAAACATATTTTAAGGGTACAAAATCTGTGGAATATGTGTGCCATGTACAGTATATACAGTAGGTTCAAGTTTTGATCTAATATGCCTTTAAGCCCCTCCAGTGTTAGTGTTCTGTCCAGCGGTGTATTTAACATTGGTGCTGCCCTAGGCAATGCAGCAACGCCGCCCCCCCCGGACTGACTCGCCGATCTCTGACAGCACCCCCCCCCACAC